CTGTACCTATAATATTAGCCTCTGGATATATATGCATAACTAATTAATGAAGTACAACTAAGTCCCTTGGTTTTATGTTAAAGGCAATTTCATTTGAACTTTGGTGGATGGTTGTCTCATTGACAATCCTTATTTTTATATATATATAGTTCTTCCTTGCAAACCAAATAATGAATTTACATTTTAATGTACATTTGATTGGTGCAACCTGTACGGTAACATTATGAAAAGATCCCAACGTAAAATACTTATTACTATTTCATTTGAACAAACATGGAGCTAAAATACACAAATTATCAATCGGCATTGATTAAATAAAAAAATAAAACACACACTAGGTTTTTAGAACGGCCTGATGCATTTGAAACATAACTATTACTGATTAAATGCTGAAATGTAATATAGAATTTCAAACAATGCTTCTGGAAATGTTTCAATGCTATACAGTGCACTAATAAAACCTCATTTATACCAGTTGATTAATTTTTTTCCTAAATGATGAAGTTCTTATCACAAAAGTAATTGAAACGTATTACATTGACAATGTAATTGTAATGTAATTAATTACATTTAAAATTCAATGTAAATGTAATAAGTATTGGAAGTAATTACATTTAAAAGTCAATGTGAATAAAACGTAATTAATTTCTTTGGCATGTAACTGATCAAAAAAGTTAAAACACCTAATAAGGTTAATAGTTAAAGCGCATTGATGACCAAATACAGCTTCCTGGTGTAGAAATTTGTGGAACAGTTAAAAGTTTCTTAATTTATTAATATGACCGTTTCAGTGATAATTCATGTCAACCCAAGTTCTGACTACTGGGCTGGTGATACACTCGTGGAGGACATTTAATTTGTAAGGAGATGTTTTGTTTCACATACACCGTCCGTCCGTCAGTTGACCCTTCCTTTAAGTTAAAGTGACAAATATCTTTGAAACAAACATCTTATAGTTGTTAAAGTTTAAGAAAATAGGAATCTGCTCTGAAATACTTTTATATAAATATAAAAATGCATAATTGTTAAAAAAAATTAAATAGAAGAAGAATAAAATGCTCCGCTGGGCGCAGCTTGATACGACCGCATAGGTCGAACCATGAACTGTTGGGGCAAGTATGGACACAACATTCAAGCTTGATACAGCACTGAATTTGGATTGTGATTAAATATTTGACACAGCATAGGTTTCTGACACAGATTGAATGTGGTCTAAGAATTTAAATTTTTTTTAATTTACCTATTCAAACCATATCATTATTATTTGCTTTTATATATAAAAAATTCGTAAGGGTTCCGCGGAACCCAGTGTCTCGCCTACTTTTTCTGTTAATCGCAGGCTCAACAAAAATGAGGATCCCGAAGTAAATCAATAAAAATATTCCTCTTGATACTATCTTTTGATTGAAAGAAGCTTCTGTCCAAGTTTGGTAAAAATCCAGGATAGTTTATGAATCTAATAAATGTTTAAAAAACTTTAACTGCAGACTGAATGTAATGTTAACTGGAAGAAAACAAAATTTCCTTCTAGATACTATCATTTGATCATAAACAAGCTTCTGTCCAAGTTTGGTACAAATCCAAAATAGTATAAGAAAGTTATTAAAATTTTAAAAACTTTAACCACAGAGTGAATATGTTGTTTCCTGGCAGAAAATCTAAGTCCATTTAAAAGTAAAATACGGAAAAAAAGAATTTATTTTTTTACAAAATTTCCTTCTAGATACTAGCTTTTGATCATAAACAAGCTTCTGTCCAAGTTTGGTACAAATCCAAAATAGTATAAGAAAGTTATTAAAATTTTAAAAACTTTAACCACAGAGTGAATGTGTTGTTTCCTGGCAGAGCTTCTGTCCAAGTTTGGTACAAAACCCAGGATAGTTTAAGAAAGTTATTAAAATTTTAAAAACTTTAACCACAGAGTGAATGTAATATTTCCCGGCAGAAAAACTAAGTCCATTTATAAGTAAAATACGGAAAAAATGGAATTCTATTTTTACAAAATTTACTTCTGGATACTATCTTATGATCATAAACAAGCTTGTGTCCAAGTTTGGTAGAAATCCAGGATAGTTTAAGAAAGTTATTAAAATTTCAAAAACTTTAACCACAGAGTGAATATTTGTGGACGCCGCCGACGACGACGACGACGCCGACGGAATGTAGGATCGCTATGTCTCGCTTTTTCGACTAAAGTCGAAGGCTCGATAATTAGAAATAACCAATTTAAAATGGAAAGTTTTAAAGAAAAAAAAAATCCCCCCTCAAATTTTTTGAACCCCCTTATGATTCATCACCCCCAAACTCAATCCCAGCCTTCCCTTTGTGGTATGGTACCTTGCAGTACAATTTCAGAGAGATCCATTCACTTGAACACAAGTTATTGTCTGGAAACTAGAAAAATGCTTGTTTTTTTGCCCCTTTTTTGCCCCAAATTCCTAAACGTTTAGGGCAATTATCCCCAAACTCAAACCCAGCTTTTCCTTTGTGATATGGAACTTTGTTGTACAATTTCATAAAGATCCATACACTTACACACAAATTATTGTCCTGAAACTAGAAAAATGCTTGTTTTTTTGCCCCTTTTTGGCCCCGTATTCCTAACATTTTAAGGCAATTACCCCCAAAATCAATCCCAGCCTTCCCTTTGAGGTATAGTACCTTGCAGTACAATTTCAGAGAGATCCATACACTTGAACACAAGTTATTGTCTGGAAACCAGAAACATGCTTATTTTTGGCCCCCTTTTGGCCCCTTATTCCTAAACGTTTAGGGCAATTACCCCAAACTCAATTCCAGCTTTCCCTTTGTGATATGGAACCTTGTAGTACAATTTCAGAAAGATCCATACACTTACACACAAGTTATTGTCCTGAAACTAGAAAAATGCTTGTTTTTTTGCCCCTTTTTGACCCCTAATTCCTAAAATTTTGAGGCAATTAACCCCAAAATCAATCCCAGCCTTTCCTTTAGTGGTATGGTACCTTGCAGTACAATTTCAGAGAGATCCATACACTTGAACACAAGTTATTGTCTGGAAACTAGAAAAATGATTAATTTTGGCCCCCTTTTGACCCCTTATTCCTAAAAGTTTTGGGCAATTACCCCCAAACTCAATTCCAGTTTCCCCTTTGTGAAATGGAACCCTGTAGTACAATTTCAGAAAGATCCATACACTTACACACAAGTTATTGTCATGAAACTAGAAAAATGCTTGTTTTTTGCCCCTTTTTTGGCCCCTAATTCCTAAAATTTTGAGGCAATTACACCCAAAATCAATCCCAGCATTCCTTTTGTGATATGGAACCTTGTGGTACAATGTCAGAGAGATCCATACACTAACACACAAGTTATGTCTGGAAGTTACAAAAATGCTTATTTTTGGCCCCTTTTTGGCCCCTTATTCCTTAACTGTTGGTACCATAATCCCCAAAATCAATCCCAACCTTCCTTTTGTGGTATTGAACCTTGTGGTAAAATTTCATAGAGATCCATTCGCTTAAACTAAAGTTAGAGTGCGAAAATCAATGTGTCTTCGGACGACGACGACGACGACGACGACGACGCCAACATCATTCCAATATACGACCACACAAATTTTATTGCGGTCGTATAAAAATATTAGACCCAGTCTTTTTTGTTCTTATCTATTTTCATGCCTTGTTCACACGTACATTTAATTCGAATTGAATTCGAATCGAATGCGAATCGAAATCGCTAATCGCGTTCACACACTCTTCTTTTTTAATTCGAATTGATTCGAATTGGCTAAATCGCAGTATCCAATTCGCATTAGAAATGCGTTTTTGTTAATACGAATTAAAAGTTAACGTCGTTAGGACAATAAAGCAAAGTAATGCTGCGTTCACACGTAATTCGAATTCGATTCGCATTAACTAATTCGAATTAGTTTAATTCGCATTCGAATCGTTTTACGTCCAAACGTTAATTCTAATTCGAATTGCAACACGCGTCAAATTTGCTTTACTGTCCGAACAACGTTAACTTTTAATTCGTATCAACAAAAACGGATTTCTAATGCGAATTGGTTAATGCGAATTAGCCAATTCGAATCAATTCGAATTAAAAAGGTAGAGTGTGTGAACGCGATTAGCGAATTCGATTCGCATTCGATTCGAATTCAATTCGAATTAAATGTACGTGTGAACTAGGCATGACGCGCATTGCAATTCGAATTAGAATTTACGTTTGGACGTTAAACGTTTCGAATGCGAATTAATGCTGCGTTCACACGTAATTCGAATTCGATTCGCATTAACTAATTCGAATTAGTTTAATTCGCATTCGAAACGTTTTACGTCCAAACGTAAACTCTAATTCGAATTGCAATGCGCGTCAAATTCGCTTTACTGTCCAAACGACGTAAACTTTTAATTCGTATTAACAAAAATGCATTTCTAATGCGAATTGGATAATGCGATTTAGCCAATTCGAATCAATTCGAATTAAAAAAGAAGAGTGTGTGAACGCGATTAGCGAATTCGATTCGCATTCGATGCGAATTCAATTCGAATTAAATGTACGTGTGAACGAGGCATTAACTAATTCGAATTAGTTAATGCGAATCGAATTCGAATTACGTGTGAACGCAGCATTAAGTTCATGATTAGAACCATTTATTTATTGGTTAAGTGGTTTTTTTTTTATAATTTGAGTCCATTCATTAGAATCTGCATGGAATCAATGAGACAAAATTTATTGTTATATTTAGTTTGTTCATACAAGAATTGCAAACTAATTTCCTTTTATTTCAAATAATGAAGAATTTACATTCAGAATACTTTCATTATGGTCTCGTTTAAGTTTAATTGAAAAAGGTAGGATCAGGTATCAGTAATGAAAACGAGTTCCTGTATTTGATCATTTTAATCCTGTCTTGATCCATTATTCACTGAATATTTTGGCTACCCCTTGTATGATTAAAGTAGAAATTTATTTCTGTGTTGAAATAATTTGGTTACAGCAGTATAAATACTTACCAAAATATAAATATTAAATTAACTCTTGGAATAATAATATTATGGCACATACTGGCATAGGGCCTATTTGAGTATTTCACTGAGACTGAGTTCTGAAAAGTGATAAAATGTGTTTCGCTAATTTTTTTGCACATGTCTTTAGTATCAAAATATATTCAATAAAATTATTTTAATAATATCCTCATGTAAATAACAGCATATGGTGCTTAATATAATAATAGTTTGATCATGAGAGTGTCAAACAAAGGGGCGTAACTCGTAAATTACTATCGGCCCCGCTTCGTCAGAAATATCGACACATCGAAGTGGCACATTTGCGTATTACAGCGTATTAAGTGGCACACATTTGACATATCATAGTCAAAGTTATGTTACATAACATAATTTAAATTCAGCATAGCTTCCCGAGAAGTTAAGAAAGAAAATTACGATTTTAATTTCCAGTGACCGATTTTTTTGGTCAACACCTAGACTTTGAAGACACATTTTGAGAGAAAAAATTAGTTTAATCCATAATTGAGTGGATCAATATATTTCTTATATACTCAAGAATGTTCACTTAAAAGCAAATTAGTTTTAATTCATCCAAAAAACTACAAATTCCAAAAAACGGGCTTCACTTTTTTTGGTAAAAAATGCCCATATATGGTAATCACATGACTTCCATTGTTGCTTCAAGAAATGGGGTCAAACCGGGGTCAGCTTTCCGACTGTTTTAATATAACAATACAGTGATTTTGAAACAAAATATTCAGACAGAGGTACATTTTTAATTTAATGATCTGATTAAACTTAGAGCAATATCATAATATTTTATAATTTGAAAAAAAATCATTTGAATGATTCAGGTTAAATGTATGAAATATTTGAAGTGTAAACCAAAGTCTAAGAAAGAAAAAAGAGGGCAAATCTAATTTGAATTAATCATTAATCTTAACAAATGATCTTTTATTAACTTTCGGAAAGATCAGATGTGCACTTATTCTGACTTTACGAGTGGCAACACTCAAATTTCAGAGAGTTGATTGAAAGAGAACTTTCATTACACTCATGAATTTATGTCGACTTCGAAGAGCACTGGACTAAATCATATGTCTAGCTAACGTTTAATTCAATAACACACACTACACTTTTGTCAGAACTTTTAGCAGGGAAAATATCAGTAAAATGACAAAGATGTGTCTAATCATGTCAACAGTAATTTGATATTCATTTCTTACAAGCACTAAGGGAGCTACCATTTGATTTTTATGGGGGGGGGGGGGGGGGGGGGGGCTAGGATGAAAAATTTAGTCCTGCCTTTTTATTTTTCACTCTATACGGTCCTGCTTTTTTTTTTAGTGTATCCTGACTTTTTTTTTACATAAATTGTCATCCTGCCTTTTTTTTTTTGCAAATAATCTCATCCTGCCTTTTTTTTTTTACTCAAAACTCCTGTCCTGCCTATTTTTTCAAATTTCATCCTAGCCCCCCCCCCCCCCCCCCCCCCCCATAAAAATCAAATCATGGTAGCTCCCTAATTTTATAAAGTGTTCATTTCATTTACAACCAATTTGCAAATGTCTTTGTATTTAACATAAACAATTACAAATACGCATGGATATCAGTATTTGGTCTATATTTTGCCATTTGTAAATTTATACAAACATGGAAACTTTGAAAAATATTGACCAGGAAAGACACATGCAGTCTTATAAAGTTCTAATGTATTGGCCTAAGGATTTTGAAAAATAACGCTTCTTCTCTAATCCGACATTTTCGAAAGGTTCTGATGTGTTAATTAATGTAAGTGCATATTATGGACAACGTACCTTTAAATACATCGTGCATACTATTAAAATATGTCTTTCAAATCTGCTGTTTGTAAAAAGCGACAGAAAAATACCAATCAGAAAAATACCCATCATGCAATATTAATGTTAAAGGGAATCCCCTACCACAAAGATAAACCAACACAAGTAAATATAGTGACGGTTATTCCCAAAATTTATTATCTAAATGCATCATAAGATCGTAATGATAAACTGTAAACCTACTTTTAAGTTCCTTTACCACTTGATTTCATTGTAAATTATCATATGTCATAGTATCATAGCTGTTTGTCCCCATCATACATGTTTTGTAAAATATTCAAAAGTTTATGTCCTACTTTTTCGGTTGTTCACAAAAACAAATTTTTAGAAACTAAAGCAGTGAGACAAAGAAGAACATGCGACGATGGAAACCATTAGTCGTTTCTGAGGAATTGTCTTGAAGCTTCAGAATAGTGCATGGCGTCTTGTATTTATTTACTTCAACTGCATACGTAACTTGGCTGCCGCTGGAACATTAATCCCCGAGGTAACCACCTACCCAGGAGTCAAGATGTGCATCGGTACTACTATGATTTAAATGATAGAATTGGTTTTTAAAGTTCAAGATCATTAATTCAGCAATTCTGTTTTAGCTAAGGTTATAATTACCTCGGTTCATGGTATTTTTATAATTCAAAACAGTGTAGGTCCGTTTCTTCGGAAAATGGCTGTATAACGTCAGCAATATGATAGTTGTTTTCCATTCTCTCTGTTGGTTGATAAAGTGTAAGTTTGATTTTGTCAGTTTTTATGGACTTCCCCTTTTTGAATTAACCAGAAGTTCTTTTGAGTTTTAGGAATCCACATATGGCTAATGCCACCACGTGAGAAAACAGTGTCACAGTATTTCTGTAATCCCTCTTTCACTGCGGACACAATCTTGGTTAATCTGACGGACACTTCCTTGGTATAACATGCCGATTAGCCGGCAATGAACCGTTGTTTGTACGGAACTTTATGAAATTACGTTTTTGTAATGGGATTACCCGAATGTTCATTTATTCATAATTTTGTATCTAGGATTTACAGACAAGACAATACTGTGTGAGGCTTTGTCCGCAGGAACAACAACATATTTGTCGCGAAGAGACTTCAGACATTTATAGCTTCTTTGTCTCTGAATACCGACTTAGGTCGAACATTTACACATGTTTTCAACTTGTGGTATCTACGCTGTATCAACAATTTATTGCTTTAACCCATTCTGACAGAGTGTCTAGTTCAATCTCTTCTTGTTTACATTATTATTAAAGTTATGGTTCCAACTGATGCGTTATGGCTCTCCAAAGTTGGAACTATGAGATATCACCTTTCGGAGATGTTCATCTTGAATTATGTTTAGATCGCCAGTAATTACATGGCCAGAGGGCTTGTAAATATATGGAGAGTGGGAATCAAGATCTTGCAATGCTTTTTTATAGTTAAATATTTTAGGTGCAATGGTTCTGGTGTTACTTTATGAGACAATAGGAACAGCGGTTTGGAAAATAAAGCGGAATTTTAGATGTTACTTCTTTGTGATGAAGAACGTTGCTGATGTTGCTAGCATCGATTCCTTTATTTGAAATTCGAAGGAGTTCCTATTTTCATCGTCTTATAGACGTTCTGATCTTACTGGTTTTAATATACGGAAAATAGCTACATCCAAAATTATACTTATCCGTCTGTATATTGGGGAAAACATATCTATACATCATTTGTCAAGTGCATAATCTCTAAAACATTTCAAAAAGTTTACAGGCAGTGAAAAAAGAATGATACGAATGTAATGTAACCCGAGCAGATGATGTAGATGTGAAAGAAGGTCATCAAACTCCCAGTACGCGACCAAGACGTTTTTTCACCTTTGGACGATGGTAATGTTTTTGACCACGACTATGCTTGGATCTTAATCTTGCGTTGAAAAAAACTAATTACATTAACATCATTGCAGGCTGGACTTTCCTTCACCTTTGATCATGTTGATGTTATCATTGCAGTACCTAATTCACTAATTCAGAAAGAAGTACTTAGTATAGGGCTGTTAGTATTGTAATAAACTTTCTCAATGATGCATACTTTCGCCTTTTACGAAATGTTTGTCGAGTTTCACCAACATATAAAAGCCCACACAAGGAACACTATATTCCGTAAAAGAAGACCGAAAGATACCAAAGGGACATTCAAACTAATATCTCGAAAATAAACTGTCAACCCCATGGCAAAAAAAAAGAAAAAGACCAAAAACAAACAAGAGGGATACAAAACACAATAGAAAAAAAGACTGAGCAACACGAACCCAACAAAAAGCCGAGGGTGATATAAGGTGCTCCGGAAGGGTAAGCAGATCCTGCTTCTCATGTGGTACCCGTTGTGTTTATCATGTAAGTACAAACCCGGTGTTAAGTCTAATTCGTTGTCACTTTCGGGGGAAATGGAGGACAGGATTGTGGTTACGACGATTGGAACATATCCGTCGTCATCTGTGAAACAGATATTCCATAGCGGTCAACCAACTCGTGATAGCGTCTGTGAAAATTCGAAGGGATGATTTCAACTTCACCACTTGGAACTCTTGGTCTGATTGTTTCCATGTGAGCAGCAACACTCTATCAAGGAAATTGTGATAGGAATCGCAAGCCCTGGAATATCGTATCAATTGGGAATATATATACTCCATATGCAGGCGGTGCTGGAATGATGCTTCCTAGAAATGGAAAGTTCAACTTGGGAAGCTGAAACCATCTCTTTTGTCGTGAAGTTCTGTTCTCAACCGACCATCATTGTCAATTTCTAGATGTAAGTTAAGATATGAGGCAGACTTAACTGTATATGTTGTATCCTTTATTTAAAGTTCGATGGGATAGATGCGTTCAACGTAGTCACCAAACTTTGGAAATTTTAATCTACGTTATCCGTGGAACAGTCCAGATGCTCAATTGTTTTTTGTGTAATTACTTGTGAATTCTGGCGTATTGCATGCTTTACATAGTACTTTTTTCTTTTTTTTTTCTGTTGGCAAGTTAAATTAATGGGAGCCGATTAACTAGTATATCCCATTATTTCAGTAATTTCTATCTTAAGTAGACATCATTTAAATGACTTTGACATTTTTATTCAAAATTTCAGAGATAAATTTGTATTCTTCTTAATTACATATAGAATTTTAGAAAATATAACCGTGAGTGATCTATTTCCGTGGTGACCTGTTGTTATTAGTGGAAGAGACCGGTATACCAAGAGGGAACTACAGACATTCGGCAGGATTGTTGGTTTAGTAAAAAAAATGAAAATGTGGTTCCGTATAAGCCAGATTTGGTATAACGTTTTCTTCAGCGTCGTAATAGATTTTGCCTTCATACCTATATGAATCGAGTTTCTCAAATGACACAGTAGTAAACAACTATAGGTCACCGTACGGCCTTCAACAATGAGCAAAACTCATATCATATAGTAAGCTATAAAAGGCCTCGAAATGACAAACGTAAAACAATTCAAACGAGAAAACTAACGCCCTGATTTATGTACAAAACAATAAATGACAAATAAATATGATATACAGCATGAAACGACAACCACTGAATTACAGGCTCCTGACTTGGGACAGGCACCTACAGAATGTGGTGGGGTTAAACATGTTTGCTGGTGCCAAACTCTCCCCTTAATCTGGGACAGTGGTGTAACCGTGAGTTCAACATAAGAACACACTATAAAAATCAGTTGAAAAGGGCTTAAATCATCAGTTCGATACAAAGCAGAAAAACAACTAACAAAACACAGACCGGATGTGGCAGGGTATTTATACATCCCCACAACAAATAAAGACACTTAGTACATATCTCAGATTACTCGCAGTTACTGACAGCTAGTTCAAGGCCAATAACTAATAAAAAAATCACGTATCTAAGACTAAGATATCAATCAGTACACATCCAATACTTATTTGGTGCTAGCGCCATCGGTGAATCATATGTTGACAAAACGCTTCTGGTGTAAAAAATTATAAGCCTAATATCTTTGATGAGTTTTCGCGATTCCACTGATTCGACATTGCTGCCGATGGACTTTCAATACCTAATGATAAGATTAGTCCAATAGCCATCTGTTCTACAGCACTAGTATAATTTTAGATATACAATCATGTTGTTTTTATTTTCAGTTTACACATTATGTATTTGTACTAAAATTAAAGTTTAAACTTCCTCATACAAAGTTAATATTAGAACGTTTGTTCATCTTGGGTTTGAGCATTCCTGATGAAGGTAAATCGAGAAAACCGATACAGAAGCACACATGTTTCATTTTTATGGCACTGGATCAATATCGCTGCTGAACGTACTCTACGAGTCTACGAGGAATCTGCCCAGCGTGCAGTGATTTGGTACTGATCATTTATAACATACTTTTCTCAAATTCTCCGTTTATTAGAAATTAATGAGAAATTGACCTTAGATGAATTTGGCTATTTTTATGTCCTTTTTGGTCATACAGGTCTTTAAGTATTTTTAAAAGTACTTATTCATTCCTGGCTTACGGATTTTGTATTTGAAATGTTCCTTTGATATTAAGGTAAATCAAGAAAAGCGCGTCGGAAGCATCAACATTGTAAATTGATATTTTAATTTGACAGTTTTTAATGCTTTATAAACGTGTATTTGGAGCGCTCGATATTAGTCGAAAAAGAAAAAAATATATATATTTAATAAGATTACATTGGTTTTTGGAAAAAGTATATATAACCCATATGAATAAGTATATAAATGAACAAAAGTAAAGCTGTATAATTGTACCGCATGTTGAATTATTTCATATTCGTTATTTTTATTAATATTAATGGGACTGCATGTAGACTAACAGATCGAGAAGAGATCTGGTATTCACCAAGTATTATTATTTATACAAATCAGACATATCTCCTTATATAAACAGTCTTAGTATAACCCCCCAAAAATAAGACCAAAAAATATTAACCTCCAAAAACACGATTCTTATTGTTTGTCGAAGGAAAAATAAGGTTTTCAAATGGACGAAAAAAAAGTTTGACACGATAAAGGTTGCTACATTGCTTTATGTGTGTAAAATTGTATAACTGACTGCTAAAGGCCTGTGTTTATTTTTAATCCCGCCATTTTGATAACATGCTTTGACTCGTAAATGTTAATTTCTAGTACGTCGACCGAATGACAGATAAAAGGTAGAAATATCTGTTTTCGTATTTGTTATACGTATGCAATTATAGAATATAAATGCACTTATAACTATGCTAGATTAATTGAGAAATAAAGGGAAAAGCACGACAGAACGATGATCAGATGAACTCTCATCTCAAATTTGGCTCTATTTCTCTTTATACTGCACACAATGCATGGATATATAGAATTTGATATAAATGCACAGAAGAAACGAAATACGAAAGGAGATTGCAAGAGTGTTTTTGCACCTAATATTTGTATTACTGTGCATGGAACGAAAGGAAGAGTCTTGTCAAAACGGAAAGACCCGGTTTTGGTTACCTTCATTACAAGACAATGACCCATTTTGGGACCCTGTTTTGTTTCGTTAAAAAGCACAGATTTAGGTGTATAGAATAGGTAATAGATTTTGAACAATTTCCGTGGACAGATAATGAGGTCCAGGTCATATGAACCATGCAAGACGGACTTGAACACATACAATTACTTTTTACACAAAATATAGTAGTTGACCTATTACTTTTAGCATTTGACAAACGGACCTAACCACGAACCTGTCTGACGGACATGTATACGTTGTGCAGATTATATAAATACCAAATTTTGTAGTCCAATTACTCATTATAACTGAAAATATCAAGTGATAAAAAAATTATAGTTTTTTTAAACCGTCACAGAACCAGGAAAATCATGTCAACAATACCAGACATACACAAGACGGAAAATACAGAACATAATGCATATGTTTACAAGATATGCTTCTTGGTCTTCTACTTTCTGAAATATAATGCTTTTTACAAATAGTCTACGCCGCCGCCGGATAATCATTGCTATGTCTTGCAGTCGACACAAAGAAAACCTCAATATGAAACTTGACCAACGGCACGGTATGACAAAATATTTGTCAATGAACGATAACATGGATAATCAATGCATGATAGAGTGAATAATGCACCCTTGATTTGATTTCCCCTTTATTTATAAGTGGATCATCATTTGATTTTCTGGTTGAGGTTATTTTCAACGGAGAATTATGTATTGTCCTCCGTTTTATAGGTCTATGCGCAAATTATGATCGACATTTTAGGGTCATAATAATTATTTTCAAATAATATAAGGAAGGATTGTTCATCCTCCCCAAAGGAAGAATGGAATATTTACTTACATAATCCTCCTGTACCCAAATAACATCAAATGGGCATATTCCAATTTACAAGACTGTTCTCGCTGCAATACATTTAAACTTATTCATATCGAAAAAACGTTTTGAAAGGCTTAGAGATTTTAATTGCTTTTAAATCTTTATTTGCTTGTATTTCGCGTTAAATTATTTATTTTCAGACAATTGAACATTATAAAAAAAATCTAATAAAGCAAAAAATCGAGTTTATCTCCATTTATATCTCGTTCCTTTCATACATTTCTTTTTATACAATGTGCGCAGTTCAAGGATAAATTTAGCAAAATTTAAGCTGGAATTCATCTGATCATTGTTTTCCTTTGCATTTCCCCTTTTTTCTCAATTAACTAATTTTTACAGTTTGTTTTTTGTTGCGCAGTTACACCACTGTCCCGGGAAGAGGAGGTTGAGCGTTCATAAACATGTTAAACCCTGCCAGTCTATGGCTGTGTTTGTCCCTAACCAGGAGCCTATTATTAAGTGGTTGTCGTTTGTTGCTGTCTG